AATTGGGCAGTAACCAAACCTCATCATCCGACCCATGGATTATTCGGGGGAAGAATTGTAAGAACTAAAAATGGATGACACGTGGCATCATTCACTGTCCACCTCAGAAGTGATGGGGAAGAAGTCAACATGCTGACCTCAAAAAGAAAAATAAAGTTATAAAAACCTCAATGAAAATTAATATAAAGAACTTTGAATCAAACGGTCATTCACTTCAGAATAAGACAATGATAGAACTAGTGATTAGTCTGAAGGCGACTTGTCTCCTAGCCCACGTCAACACCACTTTCAAGGACCAATCACAGCCCTTAAGAAAGACAATGATCGAGGCTACCTCCTAGATTATCATTTGTTGCAAGCGCCACCTATCTCTACCGATCAAAGCTACCTTAGGGCCACACATTTCAAGAAGTTACTGTAGCATTAAGTGATAATGGTTTTTTAGGAAAAATTTCCCTTATAAAAGGAGCAACCTTCCGTACTGCAAGGGAGGATTCGACACCTTCCTTGACAAATCCCTTACCATAAGATGAGAAGGGAAGCAGGATTTTTTTCGCTTTTTTTTTCCCCTTTTTATTCACAAGGGTCACTCCCATGTGAGTAGTCAACAAGGGTGACAATTTTTTTGTGACGAAGAAGTTTAATTCTAAAGGAAGCATTACCCAAAATAAAAAATAAAAAAAAAAAGTCATAACTTAGAGAGAGTTCATGCATAACCTATAAAATTAGCTCGCGTCCAAATACACTTCGATCTTGTATCATTGTCGAAAATCCATTGTTTCTCTATAAAATGTTTGTAAGTTGATAAAACGGTGACATGTCATCTTTTACTATCAAGAAGAGTAAGAGAGTTAAAAATTTAATTTTGATTGTTGAAGGAAAAAATATTGTATTGTGTGAAAGAATTTGTGTGTTGTGAATGTGAATCATGCTGTTGATATTATCCCCCAAGTATACGAAATAAAAAATAATAATTAATAAAGTGATGAATAGAGTGATTCCCGAATTTTTATTATCTATTTATTATTTTAATTAAACCCACTCTAATACGCGATTAACTATTTTGAGATTGGTTTTGGATTATTCTATTATATAATAAAATAAACAAATAATTTCTTAGAGTCTAATCAAATCATAAAAGGTACTATGATCACGAATATACAATAATTAATATACTTTAATTCTCGATTCTTCTCATTAACCAACTCTTGTTCATTCTGGCAATCGATATTCCTTATGTCTTTCTCGAAATAAATTAATCCAATTTTTACTTGCAATCCAAATTATATCTCGACGAATGGTGCGAATTGATGAAAATGCTTAACAAAGCTAGAATATCATTTAAAATTTCACTAAGCATAGAAGTATATCTCTATTTTCTACGGGAAATAGCATCATTTGTTATTTGCGCTAGAGAAATTATTTACATCTATAAATAACGAATCCCAACAATAATCATAATATGAGATATGTACTATGATGACAATTAATTAATGAAAAATAATATAAATCAAAAGAATTAAATTAAAAACAAACAATTTATTGAATTAGAGAATTCACAAGGTTTCATCAATGATTTGAGCAACAAAATCTAGTCTATCATGTTTTGATCACAAGATGGAAGATGAATGCAAAATTGGGTAATTTAGAGGAAAAGTTGGATACAATTTGTTAGGTTTTGATTTGGTAATTCTGTGAACAAAATGATCAAATTGTAAATGGTCAAAAATTAAGGGTCAAATTATCTATGTTTAAAGTTCAGGGGTCAATTTGTACATGTTTAAAAGCCAGGGACTATATTACAATTTGTAAAAGTGTGTTAGGGTTTGGTTCTTGGAAAAAGGGAAGAAGTGTCGTCGAAGTTTCGCTAGCTGCTTGTCAGGAAATTGCTCGAGTGTAAAAAACAGAGACCTCGTTGCCAACTTATCGCCATTGTCTTGTTCGAGCGAAACAGCGTCGCTTGCTTTTCGTTGGTTTTTCACTCGAGGGACAGTGTTATCTGGAGAAACCCTATTTTGTAAATTTCGAGATTTTGACCCAGCCTATACTACTCAAAACATGTCTCATGTATATACTAGTGCGTCGTATTCTTTCGTTTTGAGAAGATTGAACTGGAAGAACACATCCTATACTTTGTTACATTAATTCAATCCCACAATATTGTTGGTGCACTCGCTCAAAAATATCAAAATCTACATCCATCAAATACAAAAACCTATCCTTCCAAAGCATCTGTCAAGATTTGAAGATCTAGGAAGAAGATTGGAGTTTCGATCGTTGGAGAATGGGGAGTTCTCGAAAATCCACAGGAGATGGACGAAATAAAGAGTCGAAAGTTAGTGCATAAGCACTCATTCCAGTAGGACTTTGGGGAATTACAGTAAGAAAGTCAGGAAAAACTAGAGTTGGTTGAGTCTAGTGGATTGTAAGTTAATTTTTCGTTTATAATGGATTCATACTGGCTTGGGCCCGGAGTTTATAATCCAGTAAGGGGTTTTCTCCATCATCAAAATATCGTGTTCTTTAATTTTTTGCAATTTACTATTTTACGATAGTTCAACATAGGGTAGTAATGCATGTAAATGAATCTGAACTAAGTTAATAAATGTGACTGTTGCATTTATTAATTGGTTTCTTAAATTTTCGTATAAGCACCTATTCATCCCCTCTATTTGTTATTTAGGTCAAACTACGTTATTTCAAGTGGTATACCCAAATTGTTGTCTAGATGAGTCAATCACTTTCTGTGCCTCCATATTTTGACAGAAGCAATTATGCCTACTGAAAATTTAGGATGCGTGCATTTCTTAAATTCCTAGATAAACGTGTTTGGATTAGTGTGCAAAATGGTTGTAAAGCCCCATCCACTACTGTGTCAGGTGTAGTCACTCACACTGACATTCCACTTTGGACTAAGGAAGAATTAGCTGACTATAACTGGAATAGCGAAGGACTGTATGCATTGTTTATGGCTGTCTCCCGAAGAGTTTAAGAAGGTGTCAATATGTGAAACATCTAAAGAGGTATGTGACATTCTCAAGACTACACACAAGGGAACCAAAACCGTAAAAAAATTCCAAATTGCAAATAGTTGCCTCTCAGTTTGAAGAAATTAGGATGAAGGAAGATGAATCGTTTGATGAATTTTATGCTAAATTGAATGATATTGTGAATTCTAGCTTCAACCTAGGTGAGAGGATTCCCGAGTCCAAAATTGTTAGAAAGGTCATTAGGTTTTTACCCGAGAGATTTAGACCCAGATGATGGAGTTCTTCCTAACTTCAACTATGTGTGCAGCGGTGCTAAAATTGATGTGATTGAACTTTGGCATCAAATATTAGGCCATGTGAACTATAAAAGTTTGTCAAAATTGGCCAAAATAGAAATTGTTGATAGTTTGCCTAAAATTGAACAACATGAAAATGTTGTGTGTAAACCTTGTAAGTAAGGGAAACAACTTAGGATAAATCATAAACAAACTTCTAAAATTTTGATAAATAGACCTTCAGATCTTATCCATATAGGCTTAATGGGACTATTTAGGATTGAGAGCCTAGGAGGTAAGCGCTATATTCTTGTTGTGGTGGATGACTTTTCTAGATATACCTGGATTGAATTATTTTAAGAGAAGTCTGAAGCATTTGATCTTGTTAAATCCTTGTGTAAAAGGCTTAGGACAAAACAAAATCTTTCGATATCTAAAGTTCAAAGTAATCCTGTTAAAGAGTTTGAAAAATCTAACATTGAAAAATTATGTTTGGAGGAGGGGATTCAGCATGAATTCTCATCACCAATCACTCCACAACAAATAAGATAGTTGAGAGGAAAAATAGAGTGCTACAAGAAATAGCTAGGGCCATGCTTCACGACAAGGACCTTGAAATGCATTTCTGGTGCGAAGCCATTAACACTACATGCCACACAGTGAACAGAGTATACTTAGACCAAAAATCGATAAGACTCCATATGAGATTTGGAAGGGTAAGTATCCTAAATACTTTCGCGTGTTTGGCAGCAAGTGCTACATTCTGTGGGATAGAGAAAATCTAAGCAAGTTTGATTCCAAGAGTGATGAAAGGATTTTTTTGGGATATTCTAAAAATAGTAGAGACTATAGGGTGTACAATTCGCGTACACAAAGTGTCAGGAGTCCATAAATGTTGTGATTGATGATGCTTTCATTGAGGAGAAGGGTGTGGAAGATTTGTTTGGTTTAGAAAATCTAATAAATGATCAAGAAATTACTGAACCGAAAGAACATCCAATTTCCAAATCTTCGTGCTCTCTAAAGGCATAGACACCCTAGATAAGAATTAACCAACAAGTGACAAATCTAAGTCTCCTAGAGAACCATTATCTAAAGTTAAATCAAATCATCCTAAGGTCATATCATTGGGGATCTAGATGAAGGAATGAGGTTGAAAGTGTCGACTTTGATGAGACATTTGCTCCTGTCACACATCTTAAGTCCATTTGTATCCTCCTTACTGTTGCTTGTACCTTAGGGTTCAAACTTTATCAAATGAATATCAAGAGTGCTTTCTTGAATGGAATACTTTAAGAAGAGGTATATGTTGAGTAGCCCATAGGGTTCATTGACCATAAGTTTTCTCATTATATCTATAAATTGAATAAAGCCTTATATGGTTTGAAACAAGATCATAGAGCTTAGTATGATAGACTCACTGCATACCTCGTTGACCGTAGATTTTCAAGAGGTGGTGCAGACAAAACTTTATTCATTAGGCGTATCAAGAAACCATAAGTATAGCACATATCTATGTTGATGACATTGTTTTTGGCTCTCCCGTTGACTCTCTTGCTCATGAATTTGCTAAATGCATAAAATAAGAATTTGATATGAACATGATAGGAGAGCCGACTACTTTTTTGGGCTTCAAGTGAAACAAACAGATGATGAGCTATTCATTTCTCAATCAAAGTATGCAAAAGATGTCAAGAGGTTTGGACTAGATAGTAAAAAACATACATGAACACCCATGAGCACGAGTGTTAATTTAGGTCATGATCCTACCGGTAAGAGTGTTGATAAGACATTGTATAGAAGTATGATAGGTAGTTTACTCTATATTACTTCCAGTAGACCTGACATAGCATTCAGGGTTGGAGTGTGTGTGAGATTACAGGTTGATCCTAAGGAAAATCATTTGAGTGCAATGAGGCACATCATTAGGTATGTAGATCGAACCGTAGATCATGGAATCTTGTATCCTAGAGACTCGAATCATGATTTGGCCATCTACTCCGATGTCCATTGGGCTGAAAATGTCAACGATAGAAAGAGTGCCTCGGGTGATTGTTTCTATGTTGGTTCTAATCTTGTGCCATGGATGAATAAGAAACAAAACTTAGACTCTTTATCCATGATCGAGGCTGAATACATTGTAGCCGATAGCTGTTGCACTCAGTTGCTTTGGATAAAGCAAATGTTGAATGATTATGAGATAAATTAGGGTGTGACTGTGTTCTGTGATAACACTAGCGCTATCAACATCTCCAAAACTCTGTTCACAATTCTAAGACCAAACATATTAACATTTGTCATCATTTTATTCGAGAGCTTGTTGAGTCCAATTTGGTATCCCTCGAACACATTTCTACGAAAAATCAGCATGCTAATCTGTTCACTAAACCTTTAGATGGTTTAAGGTTTGAGTCACTTAGAAAGGCTGTCAGTATCTGTGTGCTTCCTTGACCATTTTCGTAGGGACATCCATGTACAGCTCATTTTATTTGTCTATTTTTGCATTTATTTCATTGCTTATTCATTTTGATTTGCACTCATCATATAAAATAAAACTTTTAGTCATTGTTGCATTGTATTTGTTTTACTTGAACTTACATTCAATAAATGATTAGCTTCATGTTCCCATCACTTGAATTGAGTCTGTGTGGAGTACTTGGTATATGTCTCTTCATATTTTTTCTGCACAGCACACACTATGACCTTATAAGTGAGTTTTGACCGCATGTGTGAGACTTGGGATTGCATTCATCGTTTGTTAAGGAGACCTTGAGCGTGAATTCATCTTTAACCCAAACTCTGGTGGTTCTCCCAACAAAAGATGAAAAATAATGGTTATTGAGCTATATCTTATACTCATCTTCGTAGCCTAATTGTCTCGAGCAATTAAGTCTGAGGAGTTTTTTATAACCTGCTGCCCTAAGGCCAACTAGCTAAGGAGTCACCGACCCGAAGCTCAGTATAAGGGTTTTCTTAGCAGCTTAATGGAGATGAGCTTGCACATAAGATTAAAAAAGGGAGAGTGCTTATTGATAGAGGGAGAAAGAAAATTATATAGCACATATTTGTTGATTTATAGGTCCTAGTGGCACTGGATTTAACTTTCATAGTTCAGGGGATAAACTCATTCAGCAGTGATTTAACGTATCCCTTCTCATAAATTTAAGGTTTTGAGTGTTGCTTCCATGGAACTAGTGGCACTTTTCACATATGGGTCACGTATACAATTTACTTCATCCGAACTTGATCTATGTGTACAGAGTAGTGTTTTTAGCCATTGAGTATGTCATATTTGTGATCAAGTACATTTTTTGGCAGATATACATCTTGTAGTTCGTGCTATATTTAAAAAAATGGTGCTAAAATTTTAAATTTTCAAAACAATGCTAAAATTCTGCATTTTCAAGAAATTGTGCTATTTCTGTCATTTTCCTTTCGCTTGATTATTGTTGAAGTCTCGCTCGAGCAACAATAGCAAAACCTATGTTGCTCGCTTATCACTCGAATCTCGCTCGAGCGACGGTCAGATATTTGAATTCTCGCGACAGGTTCAGCTCCATTTTTTTTTAATTTCTTCCTTTTTTTCTCTCAAATTCTCTCTAACCTACAGGTGGCAAATGGATCGAACAGCTCGTCGACTCATGAAAACGGAGCTAGTGGGAGGCTCGGGCTTGTAAAAAAAATGAGCCTATGCACAAGTCGAGCGGATGGCGAGCTCCTCGTGGGCAAGCTCGTGAGCTCTTCTAGAGCCGAGCCGCTAATGGCTAGTCTTAAACAGTGGCCAAAACGGTCGCTGAATTTTTTTTCCTTCTTCTCTTCCCCTCCCCCCTCTTCTATAAATAGCCTGACAATTGGCCCAATATTTTTCGTCAACTCTCAACTCTCATTATCTCAACCTTCTTTCTCTCAATCCCTCTTGTGCTCTCAAGTTTCGATTGATTTGTCTCAACTCTCAATTAGTCTACAATTATATAATATAATCATATTATATATATTCATTTTTACAATTTAAATATCTTCAATTTCTATTTCAATTTCAGTTCATTTTTACAATTCAATCATCTTCCTATATTATCTATTAATCTATATTGTATTTTGACAATTCACAAATTAAAATGGATCCACGGTCATTTGTCGAGGGCTTGTTCGGTGCCCGAGGTGAATCACTTGCAACGCCGCAAAGTCAATATCGAAATCAATTTTTCAGTCTAAATGAAGTACCAATTCCTAAAGATATTCCACATCTGGGGATGGACCTTAGCAATAATCCAAATTATCCAACTGATTTGGATGACATTGATGTTCTTGAAACCCTAGAGGAGGAGAAACTCGAATTAAACATTCTCAATGCTAGAGAGAAGCGAAAGGGAAAAAGTAGGCAAAATGTTGGGGTCATTTCAAATTGATTTCGACTCGCTGTGTTGTAGATGGAGTCTCAGAGTTCAAAACAGTATGTAAATACTACCAACAACGATTGGCATGGCAAAAAGGTATTGACACCACCCACCTCAACTGTCGCTATAAAACTTGTGCGGCCAAACATGGACTTCTTCAAGCCGATCAAACACAACTACAATTTGGTAGTTCAGGTTCTGGTACTACAACTTCGCCTCTCACCACGTGAATGTATTCAAAGGAGAATGCTCGAATAGGAATGGTGAAACTTATTGCTAGTGCTGAGTTGCTTCTTGCAATAGCGGACAACCAACATTTTGTCTTATACGTGAAAAAATATCTTCAACCGACGTATGTTGGGGTAAATCGAAACGCTCTTTGTTCAAACATAATAGAGTATTTTCTTTGAACAAAAAAAATAATTAATTTTGGATTTGCAAAAATATGGTGGTGTTATATCTTTAAGGCTTTAACTTCGAATATATGGGAGAGATTAATAAAAAAGCTTATATAGCTGCAATTGCACACTACATCAACCCACTTTGGTGTATGCATAAAAAAATTATTTCTTTTAAAATTATTGAATTCTTACATAAAACTAATAATATATATAATGCGATTGTGACTATTATTAAAGAATATCATTGCGAAAGTAAAATTCATTCATTTACATAACAAGGCTAGTGTTAATAAAGTGGTTATTGATAAATTGTGTAAGGTATTACAGCTTGATTTCGATGTTTATTTGTTTCAGATTTGTTGTGTGCGCCATATTTTAAATTTAATTGTGTAAGATGGTTTGAAACATATTAAAGATGAATACAAAGATTTAAGAATGTACTAATATACGTCACGATCTTCCTTAGTAGAAAATAAGGATTTGAGGATTTTTGTGCCGAATTTGGGGTGACGAATGCGAAAACATTTGTTAGTAATATAGGTTATAGATGGAACTCCACTTATTATTAAAGTCATGCGAAGGTTTTGAACATTTAATAATTGAGTTTTACAACAATAAAAATATTACAAACGATGACGACATTATTTTGAACGAATTCGATTGGCTTTTAATTTTAAAAGTTAAAGACTTTTGATATGATAGTACAAATATTTTATTTGAAATTTACTATCTCACTAGCTGTATGATGCTAGAACGTCTTCATATAATTGCAATGACCTTTCATAAATACAAAAATGACCCTGATTTTAGGGCAATTATATACTCTATGGAATTGAAGTTTAGAAAATACTAGAAAGACTTAACTATATTGTTTTCTTTAATATGCATCATAGACCCCGATATAATTTATCAGGAACTAAATATATAATTGATCAAATTTTTTAAACTTTAACTTTTAGTACACCTATTACATATAGAAATTTAAAACAAATTCTAAGTGAAATGTATGAATTATATGTTGAACGAATGGGTACAAATATTAGTCGAATATCCTCTGTGCCTACTCCTTCTACTAAATTTAAAGAAGATTATGCTGAAATATATAATTTATTTCAAGCCATTAACACGTATATGTTTAATTCAAATGCAATATGTTTATGTTTATCTAGTAATACTTTGTCTGCTGCATTTCCATCGGCCCAAACATCGGACGGAAGTGCAAATACTTTGTCTGCTGAATTAATTGATTACTTTAATCATCATATGTCAACTAATAAAATAATTAAAAAATGTTTCGATGATGTTATTGAATTCTGACAAAGGTACGAACGATGATGACTTGTAGTTTTCGCAATTACAAACGATTTACTGACACCTCCAATTAGCATTGTAGCTTCGGAGCCTGTTTTTGGTGCGGTAAAGAGGTTTTGTCCAAGGTTAGGAACCGACTGAAAGAAGTTATTTTAGAAACATTAATGTGCGTGAATGATTGACAGAACGCTCATTTTCGAATACAAGATAAATATGCTAAAATTGAATGTTGTCGAGCAAGTAATATTTAATTACATCAGTTTAATCACAATTTGTTATTTTATAATACTATTTTTAATTGTCTTTAAAAAATTGTACACGTTACAAGTTGTTCGCGTACAATTTTTAACTTCGTCTACTCAAAATTCAAGTAGCCGGTCTCAAATCCGGATAAAAGATGAGAGTTTATATTTTATCTATTTTAAAAGGGGAAAAAATAATTTTAATCAAGTCTTTTTGCTCGGTTTATTTATTTTTTGTTAAAAAAACATAATTTTTTTAATCTATTTTCAACATTAAAAAAAAAATTTGGCTAGCTCGTGAGCCCAAGCTCGACTCATCACGCGCACGAGCTGAGCTCGGTCCATTGTCATCCCTACTCTCACCCACACTAAATTCTTGCAAAATATGACATTTTAGACGGCTTGGAATTACATATTTCATCCTTTACATTTATTCATCTTCAATTTCATCAACTCTCTAAGATATTTGGTACAATTCCTAATTTCGCCGTATTTTTGTGGTTTTCATTTTTTTCCATTTTTTCTTCAATTTTTGGTAGTTACATTACGGTGTTGTGTCTATGTTAAGTTTTCCATAGCAATGTGCATCCAATTTCGAGTTAAGTTTGGTGTCCTCATTTGTGACTTTTCTTTGTACATTTGTTTTAATTGCCCATACATTTTTGGCCGGATTGTGGGATGTGTTGTTTGGTGGTTTACTGTGGTGAAGGCTGTGGATGGTAGTGTATACTTGGAGTTCTCAAATTGTAGGTTGGTGTGGTTGTTTCATATGCATGCAACATGTTTGATTGTATGCATATTCCATGGGTTTGTCAATGCTGGTTGTTCTGTGTTGTAGCCTCCGTTCAATGATTTTGTCTC